ATAATGATCTTTAAAATAGCATCATATGACCCCTTTAAGTAATTTGCAGGTCTGGAAAAGTATGGGAAAAAAGAGAACAGAGTATAGAAAAATATTCCCCTTGATGCCCAAAGTACACTTTTGTCAAGGCAATTTAGATTTTTTTTTGTAATTAAACACCCTTTTGTGAAGGCCTGCCCAATCTAACTATTAGTAAAATGAATGAACAATAATTTAGCCGTAAATGAAATGATCATAATGACCTTTCACCTGACGATCTCATCCGAGACGATCCCTCATGCTCAGACACCTTTAGTAATTTAGCGCGCTGCTGCCAGGATGCCTTCAATAACATCCGCGGCTGCCTGTAAGTGGTGTTCTCAGCGGAGCGGTGTGCTTGTTTACTTATATTATTAAATAATTATTATTTGACAAGAATGACGTGAAGAGAGCATGCACATCTGTTGTTTATATTGCTGTGTGTAACGTTAGCTGCAGCAAGGGCTATAATATTTTTTGTTCAATATTTTTCTAATGACAATTTTATGATTGGTTTATAAAGGCTTCTACAAACACCTTTTCCCATTTTTATCATAGAATAAGGCAGGATATATCAGTGTTTCCCCTGCCATTATTTTAGGGGGGCGGCCCACCCCCCCAACGGCACCACCCGCCCCCCTTGAAGGTCAAGTTAATTTTATTTAATTATATTTTCTCTGGAGCACCAGATCACAACAGAAGTAATTTAAAGTTACCTTTCTTATAGAACATGTCTATACCTTGTTCTTTCATTAAGCAAACTAAATAGCCTTATGTTATTTATCTTATTTACACGACGGCATGTCATTTCAGTCTCTACGTTATGCTCGCGCTCTCTGTATCACGCACAGCGGAGTTCCGCCCGATGCGCGCGCGCTCACACACACACACTCACACTCACATACTGGTTTCCATGTTTGATGGGGACCAACTTTATAATCATCACATGTGGGGACCACCCTTTCTAAAGGGTTAAGAGGTCTGAAAAAAATGAGGGACACTAACCATAACTCTCTTAGCCTATACACGACTTCAGACACCTGCATTGATGAAGTAATGTCTTGACCATGCTTAATGGGGACTTCTGAAAAATCGGGTTAACATGAGTTACAGGGACCAAATTTGCATATTATATGCATATCATTTGCATAATACACACACATTCCTGTGATTTGTGGGGACCTTGCACACACACATTCCTGTGATTTGTGGGGACCTTGCACACACACATTCCTGTGATTTGTGGGGGCCTTGCACACACCTGGCACACACTCAATCTTATAATTTGAGGGGTCGCTGCACACACACACATTCCTGTGATTTGTGGGGACCTTGCACACACACATTCCTGTGATTTGTGGGGACCTTGCACACACACATTCCTGTGATTTGTGGGGACCTTGCAACAACAATAAGTATTACTAATGACAAATAAAAAGCATTTATATGAAGTAAATATTCAGACTGCATTTGTTTATTTGCTCTTAAAATGGGTTTCATCTAGTAGAATTAAAATGTTTATTAGCAGTACAAAAGTAAAAATGTTGAAATGTAACTTTAATTAGTTTATGTGGAGATGTAGTGAGGTCTGCAAACGGTGCTAGTGATGCAAAGCTTCACTCTCGCATAAAACACCTAAGCCCAGTTTCACAGACAGGGATTAGCTTAAACCAGGACTAGGCCTTAGTTAAATTATGGTATTTAAACAGCTTCTATTAAAATGCCTTAGAAAAAAAAAACATTACTGTTGTGCATCTTGAGACAAAACAATGGCACATTGGACATTTTAAAGACATTCCTTCAGTTCAAGTTATTTTCAGTTAGGACAACCCAAACATGCACTTTGTGCATGTGAATACAAAGGATTGTTTTTAAGTAGTGAATAATTGTCTCTATATGTTCCAACCCATATCATACCAACAAGTCAAGCATTTAAACCTTTCCACTTCAAACTATTCTTTCTTTAATTGTAATTGTTTTAAAATAGTGTTCAGCCCCAGCCAACCACCCCGCATCAGCTAATACTCATTCACCGGATACTTATCACTACAATAAACCTACTACTACTTGAACTTCAAGACATTAATTCAGATTCAAATGACTGAATTCCACTTTTATTGAGTTAAACTTCACATAATAACTCCAAGTCAAACACCAAAAATCCTGTTATACTAAAAGTAAAAAAAATAAAATCATATAAAAAAATAATTAACTTAACTTTCACACATGCTTCCTTTCACAGGCATGCGTTTCAACAAAAATTACAACTTTAGAACAACTTAAGACCAATGCTTTTCAGCTTGTGGCCTTTATGCACTGGTTTAACAATAACGTTATTCTATTTCTTTAAGTGTTGCTGTGGCTTTAACTTATTTAAACAAAACCTGCCATGCCAGATAGTTGCATTATCTGCACTGCAATTTCTTTTTGTAAGCTGTAATGCGATTATAAACGTAAAATTTTACTGTCTTCCAATCGCGGTTCCTCAGAGCCTCTGGTTCAGCTTTCAAGCATTTCTCACAGTCACTCTTTGCTGGTACAGTGCCAGATATGATGAATGTCTTCAGGTGCCTTTCCACCGCCTGCACCTCTGCCTGCTGCCAGGGGGTTTTCTTCTGGGCAGTTTTACCTTAAAGTGATCAGAAAGAAATAAATGATTAAGACCGGATGCTGGAATTCCAATCCACAGTTCTGAATCCTGAATTTGTTCAAGGATTCGATCTCTCTAAAACCTCCTTTACTGAGACTCTGCTCTGCTCTGATTGGTCAGATGTCCCAGTCTGTTGTCGGTTCGACCGTTGTTTGAGAGTAGGTCAAACTACACATTCACAAACAGCCAATGAAAACCAAAGGCTGGGCTTTTGTTACAAACCTACACCGGTTCATGCAGGAAGTAAGTCTGGAATTACTGATGACTTGTTTCTTTCGTTTGGGAGACCGTAATTTAATTTGTCCTGCACTTTGATCTTTTTACATTTGATATTTTATATTACACACTACATGAAAGGTCATACCTGAGAAAGCATAAAAGGGGTACTTTTATAACTAGATGAATGACTAAATACATATGATATAACCAGGGGTCTGTAGTAAATTGTTATGAATTGTGGGGAGAGAGAGAGAGAAAGAAAATAAAATAAATACTGAAATCTACAAATTGATAGTGATATAATCAGCCAATATTGCCAGCAAAATCAGCAACTTCAATAATATTTCTCAGTTAATTATAGGGAGAAAAACAAAAACTCTTCTAACCATTCTAAAGAAATGCTCTTCTACCCATTCTAAAGAAATGGTGCTGATTTTCATGCCAGAGATGGTGCATTTATGCATTTCAGAAGGACCTACGAACCTCTCTAGAGACAATATGCAATGCAAGCAACAGAGCCCATTAAACATGTGTGCAAAACATTACATGTGTGTCATCTTATTTTTATTTATTCACAGCTGACAGAAGAGGGTAACTGGTGGCTTTGAAATGAAAATGGCATGAATTTAGAATTGTTCAGGGATAAAATGACAAACAGATATAAGCTTATCAGTGATTAAAAGGAGTATTCTTTTTTTAAACCATGTGGCTGCTACTGCAACATTTAGCCCTTTCTAGTTTAATTTAATTCTACAGAAAGCAACAGACATACAAAAGAGAAATGTGTAAGAGTTCACCTTTACGAGGTGGCCTCCTCACACTGGCTCCTGAAGGCATCTGCTCATCTGATGATGGTTTGTTTCTCTTGGGTGCTGGAGATATATTCCTCCCGGTTGGAGCAAGTACCACCTCGACTGAAGGTTCTAGGGGAAATAATCAAAGTTCAACATTTTCAAAAACTTCAAGAATTAAAAAAAAAGGGAAAAAAGGTTAATGTGCTATAAAATGCTGACAATGCACAAGTGATGTGTGTTTTTGTCACAATAATGATTTTAATCATGATGATGTAATAGATACAGCAAGTGCAATTAACCCTAAAGTGTGCAGTTGTTTTCGTCATTGCAAGTATAATTGAACTACATCTACATCACGTCTTTGCAATAACCATTTTAGAAAAAAATAAGCTCAAACTCTTTAAACGGAGTACTTAGTTTTATTTCAGTCATAATGGACTCATCTGACAATTCGTTTTGTGCCTCAACCCATCCAACATGAGAAGAGAGTGGATCAGCTAGCATTACACAACACATTTTACTTTCTCTAATGAAACCAACATTCTATAGTATTAAGTTGTATTAAGTAAAAAAAAAAAAAAGTTTACTGTAAAACATATTGAAGAATAGCTTGGAGGCATTTGATAGTAGTTTTGACAAAAAAATGCTTGCTTAGTGCACTGAAGCATCTGCTGGTACAGTGCCAGATATGATGAATGTCTTCAGGTGCCTTTCCACCGCCTGCACCTCTGCCTGCTGCCAGGGGGTTTTCTTCTGGGCAGTTTTACCTTAAAGTGATCAGAAAGAAATAAATGATTAAGACCGGATGCTGGAATTCCAATCCACAGTTCTGAATCCTGAATTTGTTCAAGGATTCGATCTCTCTAAAACCTCCTTTACTGAGACTCTGCTCTGCTCTGATTGGTCAGATGTCCCAGTCTGTTGTCGGTTCGACCGTTGTTTGAGAGTAGGTCAAACTACACATTCACAAACAGCCAATGAAAACCAAAGGCTGGGCTTTTGTTACAAACCTACACCGGTTCATGCAGGAAGTAAGTCTGGAATTACTGATGACTTGTTTCTTTCGTTTGGGAGACCGTAATTTAATTTGTCCTGCACTTTGATCTTTTTACATTTGATATTTTATATTACACACTACATGAAAGGTCATACCTGAGAAAGCATAAAAGGGGTACTTTTATAACTAGATGAATGACTAAATACATATGATATAACCAGGGGTCTGTAGTAAATTGTTATGAATTGTGGGGAGAGAGAGAGAGAAAGAAAATAAAATAAATACTGAAATCTACAAATTGATAGTGATATAATCAGCCAATATTGCCAGCAAAATCAGCAACTTCAATAATATTTCTCAGTTAATTATAGGGAGAAAAACAAAAACTCTTCTACCCATTCTAAAGAAATGGTGCTGATTTTCATGCCAGAGATGGTGCATTTATGCATTTCAGAAGGACCTACAAACCTCTCTAGAGACAATATGCAATGCAAGCAACAGAGCACATTAAACATGTGTGCAAAACATTACATGTGTGTCATCTTATTTTTATTTATTCACAGCTGACAGAGGAGGGTAACTGGTGGCTTTGAAATGAAAAAGGCATGAATTTAGAATTTTTCAGGGATAAAATGACAAACAGATATAAGCTTATCAGTGATTAAAAGGAGTATTCTTTTTTTAAACCATGTGGCTGCTACTGCAACATTTAGCCATTTCTAGTTTAATTTAATTCTACAGAAAGCAACAGACATACAAAAGAGAAATGTGTAAGAGTTCACCTTTGCGAGGTGGCCTCATAGCACTGGCTCCTGAAGGCATCTGCTCATCTGATGGTTTGTTTCTCTTGGGTGCTGGAGATATATTCCTCCCGGTTGGAGCAAGTACCACCTCGACTGAAGGTTCTAGGGGAAATAATCAAAGTTCAACATTTTCAAAAACTTCAAGAATTAAAAAAAAAGGGAAAAAAGGTTAATGTGCTATAAAATGCTGACAATGCACAAGTGATGTGTATTTTTGTCACACTAATGATTTTAATCATGATGATGCAATAGATACAGCAAGTGCAATTAACCCTAAAGTGTGCAGTTGTTTTCGTCATTGCAAGTATAATAGAACTACATCTACATCACGTCTTTGCAATAACCATTTTAGAAAAAAATAAGCTCAAACTCTTTAAACGGAGTACTTAGTTTTATTTCAGTCATAATGGACTCATCTGACAATTAGTTTTGTGCCTCAACCCATCCAACATGAGAAGAGAGTGGATCAGCTAGCATTACACAACACATTTTACTTTCTCTAATGAAACCAACATTCTATAGTATTAAGTTGTATTAAGTAAAAAAAAAAAAAAGTTTACTGTAAAACATATTGAAGAATAGCTTGGAGGCATTTGATAGTAGTTTTGACAAAAAAATGCTTGCTTAGTGCACTGAAGCATCTTCTTGCACAATGTTTTTGCCCGTCAGGTCTTCACAAGTCACTTGACTGACAACTATTAATAACTACAAAATGTAATTGTGTATTTTGACAGTAATACAAACCGTCAACAGTAGATGAACAGTGTTCCTCTTGTATGCTCCCGTCTTCCTCATCACAGTCAACAACTTGTTCTTCCTCATCACAGTCTATGACTTGTTCTTCCTCATCACAGTCAATAACTGTTTCTGTGGGAGTTCAAAGTACAGCTTTACAGTGGTATACAATGGCTCGTCATAAACACATGGTTCTTTTAGTCCGTCTCAGACTTGGCACAAGAATCTCATTTTCATTTTGCCGATGTGTCACAATCTGTAAACAGAAAGGATAAACAATTTGACATTACTATTGTATTTGAAAATGAAAAAGCTGACCAGAGCTCAGAGAGAAACTTTTTTTTTTATTCCTGTCCAGCATTCTCTGTCTGCGCTCACACACTCATCTTGAGCGAAACAGGCCTCATGAGGACCTTTCACACACAACGTTATTGTTCCTTATGGGGACCAGATTCATCTCATTTCACACACAATCTGAACTCCAACACTGAGCGACTGAAAGTGTGTTGTGGGGACATCGTGAGTGTACATTTTAAAGCAACAATTAACCAAGAAAAAAAAATTGTTTGCGAGACAAAACTGGCCTTAAATATTCCACTACCACTAAACTACAGGACACATGTCGATAAAGTGTTGAGTGTACTCATTTACAGCAGATACGCACCAAAATATGCTCCAAACATGGCAGAAACAGACTGCAGACTTAACTTTCCAGTGATAAAAGTGACTGTACCTGTTGAGGAGACTTGGTTTGACCAGAAGCATCCTCCATCTGAGTCTGTGATTGGAGAGAAGGATCAGAGTCATCTGCTGCTCTGCTATTAGCAGCAACACTGCTCTTCTGTAAGAGATCGCATCAATAATGAGAGGATTTCACAACATGGAAACACACCTCATGACTTCAGAGAGACAGAGAGAGACAATCAACCTCAACTTAAACATCTATTCCTTACCCATTAGGCCAGGCACACAGCACACAACCCCCACTGTCTAACCCCTACTTTGGTCTAACACCGTAAGACCCCATTATTCAATGTACCAAAAAATTAATAAAAAACACTGACCCAAAAGACATAATTGTTAGAAATTATATTCATATTTCTAATAGATTCCAATTCTAATTTGTTCAACCACCAAAAATGAGCTATTCTGTATACAGTGTGCTGTGCCACTTACTTGGGTTCTCCATGGGCAGTCGTCTCCCCCATAATCGTACGTGATTTCTTCTCCTCCTTTAATGTCTTTCAGCGCAAATAAACACAGGTGTGGCTTTCCATTCACATCAATTTTCTTCATCTTACAATTAGGATGTTGGTGGTCATCATTAACTAACCGCCCAAATGATCCATCTTCTCTAGATGCATCAATGCTTAAATTAAAAAAAATATGAAAAGGAAAAATACAAGTGTAACAATATATCAACACAAATCAGTGTCTTAGGCTGCATTTACACTGCATGGTTCAAGTGAACCAATTCCAATATTTTTTTTATATAGGAACAGATCAGATAAGAGCCACGACCGTTTAAGCTGGAAAGAGACGAGTGTATTAAGATAGTCTCAGATTGGTTTCAGGCCTCATTGCGAATGTGAAAATAAATCCGAAATAATTGGATACATGCATTTGCGCCTGACGTGTAAGCGGACAGATCGGATCTTCCCCAGTGAACACAAATGCTACGTCATTGAAAATTTAGTTTTTTTTAAACTGTACAGACATACCAGTCACAAATGAAACATCCCTATTTGAGTAGCAGAGTATTCACTTTGTTTGTTTGTGTTAAATGAAAGGCGATCTGACGCTGAAATGTGTTGCTAAGTGCTCGTTGCTGCTGTTGTCAGTGACAGTGGCTCGTGCACCCCATTCATTCCACTGAAAACACAAAATAAAATGCACACAAACATGTCCCTGCCCTTGATATACGCATTTGGTTTAACATTTACATTTAGTCATTTAGCAGACGCTTTTATCCAGGACAATAGAAGCAATCAAAACCAACAAAAGAGCAATGATATGCAAGTGCTATGACAAGTCTCCGTTATCCACATAGCAAGGTTTTCATATATACCATCATGTATATATGCAAGCAATCAGGTATGAGAGGCCGTGCTCTACTGTGAACAAATCACGGCATCCCCTTTAGGTTTTAATGAGGGAAAAAATGTTTTATGACTATATGATTCAAACGGATTCAGAAGCTGTGACATGCTTAAATATCTACCACCTGGGGCCGGTTTCATAAATGGTTTAGACTAGTCTTAAGTTAGTCATCTAATTTTTTCTTTAAAATGGGTCAAAATTTGCAAAATTCGGTTACATAACTCAAATTAGTCTAATTTGAATCCAAAATATAAGCCTAATTACCCCTTGGCTTACTGTTAATTGGTCAAACTAGTTTCATAAGACATTGTCTCAACATAGAGGCTAAGTTTATGCAACTGGCCCCTGAGTATTATTCCAATCGCAAGCTTTGAGCAGAGCTGCGTACATAATCCGTCCTGAAGAATCTGTACTATATCATTATTTTGATATATGGAAGTAACTATTGCATTGAAAAGGTTGCTATACGAATCCCATATCAATAAATTAAACTCAATGTACTACTGAAATTGATTTGTGATGACACTGTATGCACTATTTTTAGTTTGTGTCACCAAGTGCAGTGTAAACTGAACACATCGGATAAGTGTCAATCTTAAAAGAAAAGTGTCTGCCAAAAAAAAATGTATATAGTCACAAAATCAGAATTGGTTATGAAGACCTGCAGTGTAAATGTAGCCTTATTTACTCTAGTACAGCACAAGTAATATAGCTTTGGTGAAATGTGACTTCTTACCACCACGTTTTCCCTCTCCACTTAAACTCGAACATAAAAACAGCACAGGATGGGTGGTAGAGTTTTCTCCTTCTCTCCAGCTCTGCATAATTTATAAGTTCACCCCTGTACTCCACAATAAAATCTCCTTAGAAGGAACCTTTTGCACATAGTCCACGTCCTGCAAATACAACAAAACATTTACACCACAAAATAAATAAATCTTGCAGATAAAGCATAATTGCACACACAGAACACATCAATAGTAGCTTATTTAAAGGGGTCATATGATGCTGCTAAAAAGAACATTATTTTGTGTATTTGGTGTAATGAAATGTGTTTATGCAGTTTAAAGTTAAAAAAACACATTATTTTCCACATACTGTACATTATTGTT